GGCAGATGCATCTGGAAGGGTCCAGAGTGAACTGGGAGATGACAGTGGGTAGGAGGAAGAGAGAGAAACCAGGAGCCAAGAGGCCAGAAGTGAGCCAGGAGACCAAGAGACCAAAAGAACCACTTACTCAAAACGGAAGGGTTATATAGGGAAGAGGAGCTAAGAAACTGGGCTGGACAGTTCAAGATAGGGGGTAGGGTGTGCCAGCCAGGAGGACCCTGTAACAGGCAGGGAATGAGGGAGACTGGTGGCCAGAGTCTGCTTTGATATAATAGGCACCTCAGTTAGCTGTTTGTCCTAACACTTCCCCGTCTCCTCCACTTCTGATTTGACCCTAACTCTCCTGTCTCAACTCCATGAAAGAATCTTGTAATTACCTTAAACCCAGCCATCATCTCCCTCTCTCAAGACGCTCACTGTAACCACACATGCTAGCACCTTCTACCACCAAGAGACAGCCACGAGCTCTGGAGATGAGAACGAGGGTGCTATGGAACCCATCTTAATCTCATTCTTGTCATAAAATACTCTGGCAAAGCCAACCTAAGGAAGGAAGGGTTACTTTGGCTCACAGTTCCAGAGTCTATCATGACAGGGAATGGGCAAGAGCTCGAGGCAGCTAGCAGCGTTACATCCAACACCCGTGCTCAGCTTACTCCATTTTACACAGTCCAGGATCCCTGCCTAGGGGATGTTGCCACCCACGATTAAGATGCATCTTCCCACATTACATCAGTCAACCTATCAAGATAATCCCCCCACAGGCATGCCAGAGACTCAACCATCCCCTGGAAACGTGTCTCCTAGGTGACTCCAGATCCTGCCAAGTTAGCAATTAACACTAATCTTCCTACCACACCTACCTAGTCTGGGCTGTCCCTTAGGAGATGGGAAATATGCTGACCTACCCCTTTCCATAACCAGCTGCTTCTTCAGAACCTTATAGAGGTGCTACAGATGCACATGGCTGGTGTTCTTACCTCATCCTCCTATTTCTTCCCCAAGTATTCCTGTTGGCCCTAAGGACAGTAATGCTAACTTCTCTCTAGTAACAGCTCCACTGACCCTAGTAGCTTCCTCCAATCACCATCTCCTCTCTTATCTCTCTCTTCCACTTCTAAGCTCTAACCAAATTTCTGGGAAGCTGTTCACTGGCCACCTCTGTGCTAATCAGGTGTCCAGCTCCAGCACTCTCCTGCAGGGGACAACTGATAAGCCTTTGTTGTGGGTTGCAGTCCTAGACAGAGCAAACGACTTAGCATTGATCTCTGTCTCTAGGCATCAGTAGCACACCTCCACCCCGAACTGTCAATATTGCCAAATATCATGAGGGTACAAACATCCCAGGTTGAGACCTACCCCTCCTGCTAATGTCACAATGCTCTTGCAGGCACAAGACCCAACAGATGCTTCTGAGCCTACTCATCCTGGGCTTCCCAGCAGCATGAGACCCATTGGTCCAACAGCCTTTGTAAAGCTTTCTTTTTGCTAAGAAGACAGACCATTCTCCTCCAGTGATGCTCTCTCCCGTGATCCCTTTTGGACTTTTAACTGTTGAAGTCTCTTGATACTGAGGCTAGGTCACATCCACCTCTATTAGCCACCTACAAACCCAAGTAACATCTCCATACTTCTGCTAAAGGTTCCAGAACTGTACATCCACCTGCCTGCTGACATCACCCATTTAACGAGACCAACACTGGAGTCCCAAGCATTCTCAACCTTCTCTCCACCCGGAAGTCTTCACTTCACTCCATCCACCTGATGCAAGAGAGGCTGAGAGGACCAGAGCTGACACTTGGTTCCCTTGCTGCAGCCACCCCATCCTGACTGGCCCTCATCCCTCATTCATTCCCAAGCTGGTCTTCCCTTTACCATGTCTTTCCTGTCTCCACCCATGCCACCTCCTCTGTAGGCTTGAAATCACCCTGACTCTGCTTGCTTCCTAACCGATGCCACATCTTTGCCCCAATCAGTTCTGTAGGCTGCAGCAAACGTTGCTCTTTCAAAACATTAACGTGGGGTTGAGAACATGGTTCAGTGGATAGTGTTTGCTGTGAAAGCTTGAAGACCTGAGCTGATCCCCAGGACCCAGGTAAAGACCCAATGCTGTGGCATGCACCTGTAATCCCAGTGCTGGGAAGGAAGCAACAGGAGGACCCCTGGGGGTTTACTGACCACCCAGGCTAGCTGAATTGGTGAGATCTAGGTTAGAGAGAGACAGTTTCAAAAATAAGGTGGAGAACAGTTAGGAAGACACTTGACACTGACCTCTGGCTCCACAGAGGCACACATATAAACACACACCACCACAACCCTGAACACATACATAAGCAGCAAAACAAATAAGTAAGCAAAAGCAAACAAATTTAGTGTGATCTAGACATTCCTCATTACTTGAAAACATTTGGAAACTTCCCACAGCCCTTCAGAGAATGAAGTCAGCACTGGACCCCACATGGTACACTCCCGTCCCTTCTCCAGTCCCAGTGTTTGCTGCTCGGATATGCTGTGTGCTCCTTGCTGCACAGGGCCTTTGCTCACGCAAGTCCACCCATCTGAAACCCGCCACCCATCTGTACTTTGGTGGTGTGATGGCTAGCCTTGATTGTTAGCTTGACTACATCTGGAACTGACTAAAATGGAAAAATGGAAGTGCACACCTGTGAGGGATTTTTGCTTAATCTGAAGTGGGAAGAACCACCTCTAATCTGAATCTTGAAGTGGGAAGACACAGCTTCAATCCAGATCTTTGAGGTGGGAAAACCTACCTCTAATCTGGAAGCCTGCATAAGGACATGGAAGAAGGAAGCGTTTGCTCTTTGCCTGTTTGCTCTTGCCTTGCTAGCCAGTCACTGGCATTAGCACCTACTTCTTCAGGATTCCAGCTTACACTGAGGACAGGCTAAAACATTCACCTTCATATGCATCAATCATAATATATACATATACATATATATGTATATATATATGGAGAGAGAGAGAGAGAGAGAGAGAGAGAGAGAGAGAGAGAGAGAGAGAGAGAGAGAGAGAGAAAGGAGAGATTCGTTCTATACATTCTGTTACTCTGGAGAACCTTGACACCTTGACTAACACAGGTCACCATGCTCCTCCTTCAACCCCAGCTCAGTGTCAGGAGACCTCCTCTGACCTTTGGACAGAGGCTCCCCTGGTTTTTTACTTTCTCCCAGCTTCTTAGCTCACCAACAATACCCACCAGTAGTTTTATGTGTATTTCCATTATTCTTTGGTTAGTTCCATCTCCTGCCCATGCAGGTAGGAGTCACATCTGATCTGACCTGCCTCTGGGCCTGGCACCAAGGAGATGCTCAGGGAGAGGCTCAGATGTAGTATGAATGACCCTGCTGCCTTCTTCTACTGTCCTACGCCCCACGCCCCTGCCGGCCTCTCCTCCCAAGAGGAGACCTAGGAATCCCTCCTTGTGCTTTTGGAAGCCCCTACTCCTCACTTTGGCACTCTGCCCATGTCACCAACCTCAGGGCTCTCCCTCCTGAATCTCTCAGATTCACCCACCTCCAGACCTCAAGTCAAGCCATCACTGTTCTCATCTGACATGAACCCTTGCCCCAGCTTCCCCATGAGACCAAAACTTTCTGTGCCACAACCTGACCTAGTCATACTTCTGCTTGGCCACATCACCAGCTTCCCCCGGTCCTCAGGCCTGGGAAATGCATCATACACTGCCCCTGTTGCCACCACAGCAAGGTTCTTCCCCATCTTTAGTCTGCATGGAGCAAAGTTCTAGCCCCCTTCCAAGACCAGCTGTGACTCATTCTCCAAGCCTTAGACTGAAGGAAACCGATCAGGCTGCCTTGCAGTTTCTATTGCTGCAAAGAGAAACCATGGCCACCACAACTCTTATAAAGGGAAACATTTATTTGGGGTGGGCTTATAGTTTCAGAGATTTAGTCTGTTATTATGCCGAGAAGCCTGGTAACATGCAGACACACATGGTGCTGGAGAAATAGCTGAGAATTCTGCATCTTGACCCCCAGGCAGCAGGAGACCGTGCCACACAGGGTATAGATTGAGCACAGGAGACCTCAAAGCCTACCCCCACAGTGACACACCTCCTCCAACAAGGTCACACCTCCTAATATTGCCAAGCATTCAAACACATTAGTCTAGGGGACCGTTCCTATTCAAGCCACCACACAGCCCAACAGCAGCAATAGCAAGCAATGACAGCTGCTTTAATGACTTAGCAATCACACTCCCAAGAACAGTGCAAGGCCAACGGGAGTCTTCACCAGCAGCTCCCATTAGCCTTGTGTCCCAACAGGCCCAGAAAAGAAAGTGACACATATCCCAAGCCTTTAAACAGTAAACAGCAAAACTTGCTGACATTCCTAATGCAGGATCCAGGTACCACAAGCACAGTGTCCCATAATGTGCTGTGCTCCCCCTCAAGTGGCAGCAATCACTGCACATGTTTGTTCAGTGCTTGTCTTCCCATAAGACCATTTGTTCCCAAGAATGGGAACCACGTCTATCTTGTGGAAAGCCTTCCTTCCAGCACCTGGCATGCCTTTTTTCTAAGCCGGATATCATGTTCTATGGCCCTGCAGCCCCCAGCTACAAATCTCCCACTTTGAAAGAGGGGTTGACTGAGGTCTTTGTAAATACAACTAAATGGACAGCTAGATGTGCAGACACACACACACACACACACACACACACACACACACACACGCATACCCGCATGCACATGCACACACGAGGGTACCTGGGAAAGTCATCCTTAAGTTCTACCTGGTGATGACTAACCTGCTTGCTACTGAGCTGGGAGCCCTTAGCATGGCCCTTGGACAGCAAAGGACAAAGACCACATGGTTGGAGCAGGAGGATAGCAAGATCCATCATCCATATAGCCATAGGCAACCACAGAAGAGCACTTGTATGGGCATAACTTATCCCTTGCTGGTTTCCTTACAAGTCCCTTATCAACCTCTCTCAATGACTACTACGGGGACACTCACCAACCATGAGAAGAAGCCAGCTGACTTGTCCTGGGTAGAGATCTGCCCTTCATAGGGGCCAAAGATGTGGCCCTTGGGGACGACCTCATTTACACATCGCACATCGCTCTCCCCACCAACTTCCTTTACCACCTCCATGCCCTGTGGGATGGTGAGGGCTGCCCGGTCTGGGATGCCCACAGGCACTGGCGTGTCGGACACAAACACGGGGGGACCGTGGTTCGGGCATTCATCCACGAAGTACTCTTGGCAGGACTCACAGACTGGAGGGGCGTGAAGAAGAGGGAATGATTAGTGGCGGTGCGACAGAAGGCTCCCCACAGGGGCTGAGGGAATTGCTAGGGGCCACACTGAGAACCACTCAGCAGTAGAAAACACACTGCATGCGGACCACGCTTCCCAGCCCTAGATCTGCCTGGCCAGCTGCAATCATCAGCAGTAACCCATGATCCTCCCTGGGGGGGTTGAAGGACATGCTGCCAATGCCAAGGCTTTTGTCTCAAGTAAAAAATGGCTTTGTGGCTACAGGCCTAATCTGGAGTTGCCACTGCACATCTGGGGGCTCTAAGACCTAAGACAGGCTGCCGAACCCTGATGTTCCGGGGAGAATGACTGTCACTGAACCCTGGCCCAATATTCCCAAGCCAGGGGCAGGTGGGGTATAGGGTGAAGGGAGAAGTCGCCCAGAGCCTCAACTCCACTTACACCAGAAGTCCACTTGCTGGAAGCTTTTGGTCACAATGAAGTCACGCTTTCCCTTCAGCTTCTTGGGTTCAACTTCCATGGAAGAGGGCTCTGGTCTCCTAGAGCTGGCCAGGGCAAGGGCCCACAAAAGAAAAGCAAAGAAGCCATCAGAGACAGTCCAGGGGGAAGGCAGGCTGGACACCTGTCCAGGAGACAGGGGGGTTGAACACGGGCAAAGAACTCCAACAGGCTGGTCTTTGGCTGCAGGAGTTGTGGAGCACATGAATTCCTGAGACTTGGGCCCTGAGAAACTCTGTCCAAATTCTCCTAGTGCCTGCTCACCTCTGACCCCAGGAGCTGCCCAGTAAGGAAGGTGGCCATCCCCTGGGTCCCCAACCAATCCAGCCCAGTTACCCACCCTCCCCTCCTCAAGTCACCACCCAGGGGCCTCACCAGGGCTGGCCATACTCCTGGTCCCGGAGTGGTGAGCAGACCTCTGTCTTCACTACTGTCACCATGTCCCCTACAGCCGCCTTGGTGTGGGCCAAGCACTCCTTCATGTTCTCAGTCATTCTGTCCTGGGGACAGGCAACGGAGGCCGGGCCAGCACAGGAAGAAGATCAAAGAGACAGGGGAAGAGGGGTGAGTGGCTGGGAGGGAGAGCAGGGGTCCCTAGGAGTCTGGTTACCCTCCCTGCCATCCCCAGAGGAAGCGCTTGAGAACTCAGACAACAAAAACAGCTGTAGCCTGGCCAAGAGGAAATGCCATTTCTATCCCGGGCTGGTCCTGGGGACGACTGGAGCCACCAGCCCCATGGGGTCAGGGCCCAGGGGCAGCTCAGGCCAGGAGGCAGGCCTGGGAAGCACAGCCTGGACACTAAGTCCAAAGGACACAAGGAACCCCCAAGAACCTGACAAACTCTGCCAAGGGGGGGGCCGAGAGAGTGGAACGCTGAAATGAGCTCTGCATGGCTGGCTGTGAGGCCCCGAGTGAGGGGCTGCCAGGAGGAAGAAGCCAGGCCCCTTGGGCTGCTCATAGCAGGTACAGGCGGGGCTGGGGAGCTGGTTGTGTGCCAGCCAGGACTAGCCCTAACTCCAAACCCACCCCTCACTCCAGGGGGGAGTGTCCCCAAAGCATGCTTACCGCCCTCACCACAGAACCCGGCTGCAGCCCCTCCCCACGGTCCTCATGCCAGACCCCAGGCCACTCTTCTTCGGCGGGTTGTGCAGTAGCTTGGCCTTGGGACCGTGCTGGGCCCCGGGACTGGGCGAGCAGAGTATGTGTGTGACTCACTCCCCGGGGCCCCCGCTGGCCACACCCCTGCTCCTCGGCTCACCAGCCCCCTGCTCCCCACCGGGGGCCCCAAAGCCCGCGGCGGCGGGAGGGGTGGGGGAGCGGCACGGCCTGCCCCTCCTGCGATCCGGGACGCGGGGGGCTCGCGCAGGGGACCGCAGGGGACAGGGAGCCCTGCCCCCAGCCCGGGGGCCGCGGTTCGGCCGCGCGTGTGGCCCGCGGGGAAAGTGTGCACGGGGGCGGCGCCCCGGCCGTCACCCACCTTCGCGGCGGGGCGCCGCGGCCCGGCCCGCCCCCAGCCCTCCCGGCAGCCCGGCATTCCTTGCGGGGGCATGTGGCTTCTTGCCGGCCCCGGGGGCACGCAGTTGGCTGGCGGCCGGGAGGGGCGCGGGGCTCGCAGGACACGAGCGACGGGAGGGGGTGGCCGCCGAGGGGACAGTCCCGGGTTCACGCGCGGACGGTCGCGCGCGGCCCGCAGCAGCCTCCGCAGCGCCACCGCCGACACCCACCTCGGCCAGCGCAGCCCGCTCCCTGCACCACCTGCATCGCCCGGGGTGCGAGCGCCTCCTCCGGCCCGGGAGATGGTTCCCCAGCCACCCGGGGAGAAAGAGAGTGCCCAGGGCTGGAAGCTGAGAAGGCACTGGCCCAAGGTCAAGAAGGCTGACCGGGATGCTGTTGCACCGGCTGGAGTCCCACAAGCCTGGAAGCAGCCTGAACTCCGCGAACCGAGTTCAAGTCTCAATAACACACTGTGCAGCCACGGGGCAGGTGTTAGAGGCTAAATGTTTGCCCTTTGACTTCCACTACGTTCAAGTCCTAAATCCCACTGTGACTATTTGGAGAGGACACACACTGGATAAGGTGTTTAGGGCCAGGTACCCTCATAAGGAAATGCTGACATGAGACTCTCTGCCTGTGAGGACACAGAAGATACTGAGTCCTCATCTCAATGGAACTTAATGAGTGCACCTTGACCTTTGACCTCTTATCCTTCAGAACATAGGGGCTGAAGCCACATGCTCTGTCTCTGGTACTTGGCCATGGCTGCCAAACTGACTGATAACGAAGGTTGTCTGACTTCTCTACATTCCCGTTTCTCTCACTAAATCTATTTCTTTAATTTAATGTGGAGTGGGACCATACCTCTGCACGTGTGTGGATGTCACAGGACGACTTGCGGGAGTCGGTTCTCTCCTTCCACCAAAATGTGGCTAATGATTGAGTTCCATCACTGATGTATTGGATGACACGGACACAAATAAGTTTGGAGGAGGCTACAATCTCAGGCTAGAAAGCTAATCCGGAGCCGAACATAGTGATGCATGCCTTTAATCCCAGCACTCAGGAGGCAGAGGTAGAGGCAGGGGGATCTCTGTGAGTTCAAGGCCAGCCTGGTCTACAGAGTGAGTTCTAGGACAGGCAGGGTTACATAGTGAGACCCTAACTCGAAAACCAAACCGACAACAAAAACAATAGGGAGGGAGGGAGAAAGGAAAGGAGGGAGGCAAGGAGGGAGGGAGAGAGGGAGGGAGGAAGGAAGGAAGGGAGGGAGGTAGGAAAGGAGGGAGGGAGGGAGGGAGAGAAGCAGGAAAGGAGGGAGGGAGGGAGGGAGGGAGAGAGGGAAGGAGGGAGGGAGGCAGGAAAGGAGGGAGGGAGGGAGGGAGGGAAGCAGGGAGGGAGGCAGGGAGGAGGGAGAAAAGCAAGCTGATCTGGGACATAACCAGGCAACACCATCAGGGGCATCTCGAAATAGTCTAATAGTCTCCACTACATTGGATTGCCCTTTTAGCCAATCACTGACAGGCTCTGTTGCTTTCTGAGAGCACACAGCCTAGGACCATTTTGCACAGTGCTCCCCTGCTCTGGCTCCTAGGTACTCCACTGGCCACAATGCCTGGAAACTAGATGTGTCCCCATCCATTTCCTCCCTGCCCTCCGACCCCAGTAATGCTTCTACTCCAGGGATCCCCCGGAGCTCAAATTCCAGGTGGTTGTGAGCCACCTGAAGCGGATGCCGGGAAGTGAACACGTCCCACGGACGTGCAGTGGGAGCCGCTGGGCCATCTCTCCAGCCTGTTTTGTTTTGTTTTTTAATTGACTTGTAAGCCTCTGGAGTGTGAGATCTGTAAAAGACAACATCAGTAGCAACACCGAAAGGTCGGACATGCCTGCTAAGCCTTAAGGAGTCTTCGTGGGCAAGCCAGTAATAATAACTGCCAGGGCACCCCGTGGGGAGAAAATGGGGTACACACTGAGGGGAGGCCTTGGAAAGAGACAACTACCACCACTTTATAAGGTCTGTGTTTCACTGGCTGCTCAGAGATGGAGGCAGGGGTTGAGTGAAGAGAGAAAGAGACACAGTGACTGCTTAGGACAAGAGGTTCACAGACAGTCCAATTCAAATGGTCACCAGATAGCGTCCTTACCCCCGAGTAGAGAGGCCTGTGGTTTTTGCTTGTGTGTAGTACTCCACATTTTCTTACAGAATCATACCCAGGTTAGATGTTACGAGACGCTTGACCAAAAGTGTTTCGGACCTTGGAGTGTCCCAACACTGAAATGCTGGCATACTCTAACCCAAATCCCAAAGCTCCAAAATTTGATCCTTTGTTGAACATGTCAGATTTTGACTTATGTTGCATTTGGGATTTTCAGACTAGGAATATTCAATTTGTACAAAACAGGAGGCTTAGGAAACAAACAGAGTGTCAGATCTCAGGTTCTGGGTGTCAGAGCTGACAAGCAAGTCCTATGTCTAGCATGCTCTCCCATTTTCACCCATGGGCACCAATTATAATAATCTGTAGTTAGATGGTAAGTGATGGAGCATCCATTCAGTCCTGAGCTTCTTGGTAAACAAATAAGAAAGGGTGCCCTGCTCTCATTATTCTGAACATCTATTTACTGGCTATTGGTCCTCTCCATTCTTGGAAAAGCCCAGCTGCTTGGAAGTCAAGATCAAGTCTCACTTGTATGAGCACTGTGCATTTAAACCCTGAAGTGGGCCACTGGCACCTTTACTTTGAAAAAGACTCTGTCTCAATTGAAGGCGTATGGGGACATGGTGAGAATAGGGTGTGACTAAGTGAACCACTTGGAGAGAGAGAACATGGGCTGGTGACCTTCACCAGGTCCCTCATGTTAATCTCAGTGGGCACCAGAAGGCACAGCCAGGTGAAGCTCTAACAGCCATTTCTGCATATTACTCTAGCCTCCTTGCCCAAGCAGACGGCAGCCTCATGGAGCACTCCAAACTGCTGGCACTGCTCCCTGCAGCCTGGCTCCTTGGAGTCTGCACTTACAGAGATTAAGCCTGGTGCAACCTTCAGCAATGAGATGCAAACCCAAGAGGAGGGGTAGAGAGTGGCCAGAGGCCTGCAGCTCATTTTCACCCTTGGCAGAGAGCCAGGATCCCAGAATGCCTGGCAGCCAGGAGGCTGGAGCATCAGGAGACTGTGCCCATTTGGCTTCCTTCAAGCCTGGCACCAGGAGAGTGTGCAGTTCTGTTTGGTATCCACCCTACAATTTCTGATGTCCTCTTGAATAACAAAAAGACTTAAGGTCAGACACAAACCTGGACTAGGGATCTCGAGCCTTGGGGACTTGGGCTTGTTTTTGCCATAAATTGAGATAATTTTTGCCTATGCTTTAAGCCTCGGTTTACTCTTCTTGAAAAGATCTGATTAAAGGTTATCTTTTTTGGTGTTTTTTTTTGTAGGGAGTTAAATTTTTATTTTACTTTATTAACTTATGTGTGTGTTTTGCCTGCATAAATATATGAACGTCATGTGTGTGCAGTGCTCACATGAAGGTCAGAAGAAGGTGCCAAATCCTCCGGGACTGGAGTTACAGGAGGTTGTGAGCCCCCATGTGGGTGCTGGGACTTGAACCCTGGTCCTCTACAAGAGGTACTCTTAACTGCTGAGTCAACTCTCCAACCCAAGTTGCTTGTTTTTTGAGACAGGGTTTCGCTATGCAGTCTAGCTGAAGTGATACTTGCTGTGTAGACCAAGCTGGCCTCAAACTGTCGCAATCCTCTTGACTGGATGCACTCGTGCTCACCACAGCAACACATCAACTATTGGTGCTAAACAGTAGATCAAAGGAGCAGGAATGGAGACATTTTGGAATTATTAAAGAGAATAGCTGACTTAAAAGTTTATTGTATTTGTATGTTTGTGTATACATACACACCTGGGTATGTGCACACATGTACATGTGCCTATGGAGGTCAGAAGAAAGCATCAAATCCCCCGGAGCTGGAGTTGCAGACAGATGTGGGTCACCTGATGTGGGTCCTGGGAACCACACTGGGATACTCTGTACAAGCAGCAAGTGCTCCTAACCCCTGAGTCATCTCTCCAGCCCCTGAAGAATTGAGTTTATATGCTCAGCAAACACCATCTGTGGGAGAATGATTAATATTCTTTGAATTTACATGTGAGATAAGCCTGCAAATGCAGGTAGCTGCTCCTATGACATGCAAAAGGCATTTTAAACCTATTTACCTATGAGAGAGAGAGAGAGAGAGAGAGAGAGAGAGAGAGAGAGAGAGAGAGAGAGAGAGAGAGTCTGAGCAGGTGTGGTGGATTACACTTTTAATCCCAGCATTTGGGGGAGGGCAGAGGTGTCACAGAGGATTTCTGTGAGTTCTAGGCCAGCCTAGTCTACTTGGTGAGTTCCACAATAGTCAGAGCTACAATGAGACACTGTCTCAAAAACACAAACAAATAAACAATCAAACAAAATAAAGAGTCTGGCTATGTAGCACAGGTTAGCTTCCAATTCACAGTCCTCCTGTGTCTGTGTGCCAGGATTACTAGAGAATAACACTATGAGATAAATTTACTAAAAGATGTAACTGAATTCATGGAAGACTTTTTTTAAGACAAGGTCTCTCTACATAGTCCTGGCTGTCCTGAAATTTACTGTGACAATCAGGCTGGCCTCAAACTCACAGAGACCCACGTGCCTCTTCCTCCCAAGTGCTGGTATTAAAGGTGTGTACAACTCACTGCACCTGGCTAAATTCATGGAAGTCTTACACTAGTTTACATCCTGTCACTTGATACCAGCATGGCCACACCTAGGCTGTGTAACTAACAAATGACTGATTATCCACACATTTCTGCTTCACAGGTCATGTTTACACACAAATGTTTAGCCCAAAATAATAACTTTATTAACATTAGTTGTTATTATTTAAATGTTAGTATCATTTAAAAGTATAATAAACTGAGTTAACCCAGCTATTTGGGAGGTTGATAGGTGAATCATGAGTTCAAGGAAATGTAATTAGATCATGTCTCTCTCTGTATATGCATACATACGTACATACATACATACATTCATACATATATGCATGCATACATATATACATACATACATTCATACATACACAGAGAGAGATACGATAATAAAGAGAAGTTGGTGAAAAGTTTTCTAACATTTAAAACTGGGCTGACCAACTCAGCTATCACCCAGGCCCAGATCCAGGGCTTTGAGTTGTCCCACCCCAACATCTACACATCTATATGACCTGTTGGAGCCGTGAAGCAGCCTGTCCTGCAGAACCAAAGCTGTAGGATCTCCATGACACAGGACAATAACAGGATATCCATGAGGAGTACCAGCGAGGATCCTGTATTGATGGTGTAGCAGAAGCCAGAGACCTTGAACCAGACCAATGACTCATTGCAATGAACATTTGAAGTAAAGCTGTTTGGGCAAAAGGGTATACTGTGTGACTCACCAGTGATCATGGAAGAATTTTTTTTATTTCTATTTTTTTCAATTTTTTGTTTTCTTTTGATGGGGAGGGCAGATATGGGGGACAAGGAGATGAGTGGGATTGGGGTACATGATGTGAAATTCACAAAAAAATCAATAAAAAGCTAAAAGTATCTTTATATTAGCTTCCAAAGTTAAAGAAAGCGGGGTTGAGTTGGGGCTACACGTCAGAGGGAGAACATTTGCCAGTCGCGTGTGAAGCCTGAACTGTGTCTTTAGCACTTGGGGGAGGCCTTCATAGTAGTTACGACACCCAGTAGAAAAACACTTCTCATCAGTATATAATGATACTTGGCTCAACAGAAAAATCAGGAACAATTTGTAAAAGTAAAATGCTCAATGGAAAAGTATAAACGCTATTAACACACAGGCTTTGGGTGTCAGAGAAGACAAGCATGTGTCTCCCACACTCTCTGATGTGGTACCCAAGGCAAATATCACTCATTGATCAGGGTTCTCTTCCCTTCTGGGCCTGAACTTTGGCCTCTGATTAGTGTCTTTCTCGGTGCCAGGCAGCCCCTTCCAGCATCATGTCTCCATTAATAAACTGACAAAAGCTTAAATCTTAGTGATACTGAGGACTGCCAAGAATGAGGAGTGAACAGTTACTCTAACATCATGGGCTGGGATATGATGTGGGGCAGTGTTCCAAAGGCCAGCTCTCTGCATGAGAAATGCCCCCACCTAGGATTCCATTGCAAGGATACAGTCAAGCCT